AAGCTTAGGCTAGAGATAGGACAATATATTTAATATGGTTAAAAGATATAAGATAACAGGGATCACGCCTGCATGCCCGGCCCATGTCATTCGATCAACTGCAACTCATTCAATTCCTTGTTCGCGCTCTCTCCATCGTTAGGTATTTCTCCGCGTTAAATATTGAATATCTATTTTCCGAGCAATCTCGTATTCAGCTTTGAAGATTGTGTGGTTATTGTCCAATGCCACTACAGATCCATACCAATGATTGGCATGGAAACATCTGTAACAACAAAGATCTAGTGAATGGGTTTGCGTAAACCCACGTTAAGGTAAACGTACGTTTTACCGTGTGTGGCGATAGGCTTTCCGTTTGCCGTTGTAAGTGTAAAACTGATTCGCGAAGCCGGTCGTTAGAATTTGTCGGAAGAACGCTAACTTATGCTCCAGTATCGACGAGGTAGCGAACTATCGTTATCAAATCTGTGACGGATAACACATGGCTATGTTCGCCGGCTACGGTTGCCGTTAACGCTTGTCGGCTTGGAAGTTTCCCGAATTTTTTCCTTGTCGGTTCATTTTGAGTTGGGAAAATTGCAGAATTTTCTGCAATTTCTGGAGGACTTTCCATACTGGTCAGGATACCAGCACCAGTCGGAGTTATCCGTATGCCGTGGTCCAGAGACAGATTGCGCACGTGAAGTGCTTCTTCGTGAGGTGTCTGGCCGTTTACGGTCGTTGTGAAATTTAAGATAACGAGTAAGTGTATGGCATAACTCTCTGATATCACTCTGGTCGTCCGGGGCTTTTCGTTGACTGAAAAAACCTCGGCATTAGAAGATTTCGTGGTTTCTGAAATGCGATCGCAGATGCAACCAGTTCGTCTAAGGTGTTGTTTTGAAACGAGACCAGCACAGCTTGCACCTGTTGAGGAAGTTTGGATAAGAAAAGTTGTTTGTGAATAGGCTATCATCGAAGGTTCTTTGGCCGATAACCTCTCATTCTTTGCAACACGTCTGTCTCAGAACCGTGTTGCAAGTCGATGTTATTAAGGAGTTGGTCTAACCTTTGTCGATCGGCTAGGTCTCCGCGTTTAAGGATAGGTCGTTTAACTGTCTCCTAGGGTTCGAAACATCAATAGCAAACATGCTAGGTGTTATGTACCTGTTGAATTCGCGCGGTAGTGCCTTAACTACTGTGAGGAATTGTGCATGTGTATCGTTCACGACGTGCTCGTAGAAGTCGGTTTCGATAATTTCTGGCCAGAAGGACATTAGCTGGAACGAAGGTGGGGACATAGTCTTCAGCTTAAATACCTTGGGTGTCTGTTCGGTCGTGGTGTAATATCAAGTACGAGAATGAACGAGTGAAAAAATATATATCGAAAACACGGAAAAAAGCTATCACAAAATATAAAAAAATATTATAAGGCAATAATATGCAGAATTCCAAAAAGGAACAGACTCATAGTTTACAATTTGGTGTACCTGATCACGTTAGGCTCAACAATGAAGATGCCATAGGTATTCGGAGTTTGACAACACTTTAACCAGTAACACCTGTATGAAGCGTACCCACCAAGTGAAATCAAAAGACAGAAGCGAGGAGGTTGGAATATATATTTGATAGGCTATCAATATATCGAGGATCGTTTGATCTAATCTGGCTAGCGATTGCAGGGGTTGTTGAGCACGGCATTACCACTCGTGATCTGGTGCGGATGCATGACCGAGTGCCTTCACCTAGGTGAGTTCATTAAAACTAATGTGGTCAGCATGCAATATCGAAAACTTACAGAGCTGTTTATTTTGGGCATTTATTTACCCCTACATTATTATTGGTCAAGACAAACACATATGTCCATATTATACTTAGAAAACCTAGCGCAATCACCTCCGAGTTGTTCATAACGAGATTTTTCACTATACTGGAAGCTTCTTGTGTTCCTTTCAGAACCATTTGACCAACGTTCTGTCGTTGCTCATCAAGGATAACGTCCTACCTTGAAGGATTGAAACTGAGTCCACGCAACTTAGTTAGTGACCTTGGGTATCCTCAGAATGACTCAAACAGCTTCCAAACCTTTTCTGATTGGTATTAGTGGAGGAGCCGCTTCAGGAAAAGTAATTTTAAGTTCAACAAACAGTGCTTGTAGGCAGAGGCATGCAAGAAGATAAAGGATGTCTTATACAGAAAAGCAAAAGGGAAGAAAGTTGAAGTTCTTTCCTTGTCATCGTTTTATCGTGAACTTTCCGATGAGGAACTCAAATTAGCCCTAAATAGTGAGTTTGACTTCGACCATCCAAGTGAGTTCTTCATTGTTGGTTTGCCTTTATATGTGATTCAAATTTGTGTAGTAATAACTACTACTCCCCTTTCTTTTCCATTTATTGGTTGCCTGGGAAGGACAAAACCACTCTGGGTGGTAAGGGAAAGTTCTCCACAGACTTAAAAGTATGCTACGCAAATGCTCACAGCCTACTAAATAAAATGGCAGAGCTCAAGTCAATAGTGGATAAAGAAAAACCGGATGTTATTGCTGTCTCAGAAACTTGGTTAACGTCAGAAGTATTAGAAAATGAAATTCAGTTGACTGGTTTTTAAGCAATAGGGTTGATAGATTAAACCGTAGGGAGGGCGGGGTTATCCTGTACACGAAAAGTACCCTAACCATAAGAGTAGTTGAGACAGTGGCACATGTTTCAGGGACATGTGAACTGGTGCGATATAAGCTGAAATGTAGACGGCAGGATATTGAATTAGTTGTAATATATCGCAGTCCAGAATGTGTAGCAGATGATTTTCTCCTAAGTAAACTTAAGCCCTGGTGTAACAAGGGTAAAAGCCTTTGTAGTAGGCGACTTTAATGCACCGTATATAAACTGGGTTAACTTAGAAGTAGGGTCATCGATAACGTCGTTCGATTGCAAACTGTTAGAAACCTCGATTGGATTAGCTTTATTCCAACACATTAGAAACCCCACAAGATATGACATAAGAAACTCTTCTTCTCTTTTAGATTTAATCTTCACACACGGTGATGACGTTGGTCAGATGAATTTCCTCCTACCACTAGGGAGAAGTGACCATAAGTCATATTATTCAAATTCATGGCTGAGATTGTCTGTCAAACAGTTGCGCCGGCCCGTCCTAATATATGGAGGGCAGGTATGGAGGAAATCAACTCCGCAGCATCGGCTGAAGACTGGGAAATTGACTCAAGGCATCAGTACAAAGCATGGACCCTTTTCAGACAGTTATACAATCGGGACTCAACCATACATACCCTGGACAGTTCCAAGAAGAAAAGAGCATGCCATCCTGGATAGGCCGGATATTCGACGTTTACTGAATATCCCGGCCTATCCAGGGATGGCCATGCTTCTTCTTCTTCTTTGGAACTGTCCAGGGTATGTATGGTTGAGTTACCCGATTGTATAACTGTCTGAAAAGGGTCCATGCCTTTTGTACTGATGCCCTTGAGTCAATTTCCTAGTCTTCAGCCGATGCTGCGGAGTTGATTTCCTCCATACCTGCCCTCCATATATTAGGACGGGCCGGCGCAACTGTTTGACAGACAATCTCAGCCATGAATTTGAATAATATGACTGTATGGTCACTTCTCCCTAGTGGTAGGAGGAAATTCATCTGACCAACGTCATCACCGTGTGTGAAGATTAAATCTAAAAGAGAAGAAGAGTTTCTTAAGTCATATCTTGTGGGGTTTCTAATGTGTTGGAATAAAGCTAATCCAATCGAGGTTTCTAACAGTTTGCAATCGAACGACGTTATCGATGACCCTACTTCTAAGTTAACCCAGTTTATATACGGTGCATTAAAGTCGCCTACTACAAAGGCTTTTACCCTTGTTACACCAGGGCTTAAGTTTACTTAGGAGAAAATCATCTGCTACACATTCTGGACTGCGATATATTACAACTAATTCAATATCCTGCCGTCTACATTTCAGCTTATATCGCACCAGTTCACATGTCCCTGAAAACATGTGCCACTGTCTCAACTACTCTTATGGTTAGGGTACTTTTCGTGTACAGGATAACCCCGCCCTCCCTACGGTTTAATCTATCAGCCCTATTGCTTAAAAAACCAGTCAACTGAATTTCATTTTCTAATACTTCTGACGTTAACCAAGTTTCTGAGACAGCAATAACATCCAGTTTTTCTTTATCCACCATTGACTTGAGCTCGCCATTTTATTTAGTAGGCTGTGAGCATTTGTGTAGCATACTTTTAAGTCTGTGGAGAACTTTCCCTTACCACCCAGAGTGGTTTGGGGATCGTTTGGCTCAGAAGCTTTACAATTTGAAAACCCTTATGAGCGAGGTTTCTATCACCGTTTCGGCGACGCTCATTTATTTCCTTTTCTGCAGCTCGTCTCTAATACGATCAGCTAGGCTGAGATCCTCACGGACATATATTCCGGATCCAATCAGTTTACGTGAGTTACCTAGAATCAGGTTCGTTTCTTCAACCGTGGCAAATGTAATCTTCAAGAGGCGGTTTTTCTGAGGACTTTCAGAATCCACCTTTTGTCCTATTCTATAAAGCTTATAAATACTAACTTCTGAAACTGTATCCGGGAGTAGTTTGCTTATTAACGACTTAATATGACTGAGATCGTGTTCGAATCTAGCCTTTGGTTCCTTATCGGAATATTCTTTTAACTTATGGAAAATGACTGACCTCTCAGAGAGGCCTGCCTTAATAAGCAGTAGAGTTTTTGTTTCTGATACCGTCTCTTCCAATGACTTGTTAACCAGCTGCGTACTGCCTACAGCTTTTTCCTTCTCATTTCTTTTTCTCCGTACTGAAGTCCATTTATCATCACTCAGGACAGCCACACCGGGACTATTTAGAACGGTGACAGTCTTATCCGGGTCTTCAATTTCCACTAGAGGTGTATGATTACCGATGTCAATATCAAGCGGCACTTTACTCGTTATTATTAACGGGGATTTCACTTTCCGTCAATCACAGTCGGATGTTTAGCGGGTCCGGTAGCGACACGTACTACACAGACACGTTCTTCACCGTCAGTGCTCGTGTTATCAGCGCAACCACCATCATTTTTCTTACCGGCCAAAGCCAATAGGGTCATAGCCTCTTAAATTAGTAACTTCTTATTTGTACAGCAAAACATACAAAGCCAATGCGAGTTAGGCTTCACGCATCTTTTGTATGCCGTAGGACTTAGACGTGTACACATCTCGTACAACTTTTTACATTCATCACACTGCATTCCTTCCCCAACGGGGAACAAGTAGTTTGGTTGTCCACATTTATAAGTCTTACTAATCATTGTAATTTGATTCAAAAGTTTTAAAACACAATGTGAACACGAGTGTCAGTCAATGAGTAAAAAAGGTACCACAGGACAAAGTTTAGCAAAAATTTCAAACCTTAACCAAAGTACTTTTAGTTAAAGTAGACCAGGAATGCTTTTTGGTGCAACAAATACACAAAGCAAGGATAATCATGACAAGTACAAAAATCACTGCCCTTTTTAAAACGAGCGCTCAGTTTCAGCATAAGGACCGCCTCAGGGTAGCGTCGGACCATCTACCTTTGTGGTAACAGCCGAACGCGCTAACCGGTTGTGCCACGGAGACGTAACACATAGTTATTAGTTCAGAAATTAGATGTTGTTAGTTATGAGTTTGACTTTGAGCTTTTAAGTAACTTATTCATAAAACTCACTTTGGAAAGTGAAATGCAGCTCATACTGGGTTTCATTGCATCATTTCGATATCGAAAATTCGTTAGAATAGATGCCTTAATGTTTCACAGTTGTCTGAGTTATATGTTTAGATCATTATTCTTTGGATCTCCAGGATTCTGTTATAATCTACATCAATGTTAGCTCAGGAGGTTTTGGACTTTTTTATTTCTTGTTTTCGATCCGTCTTATTGCACAAAATCTCTAGTAATAATGGTTTCAATGCCTTTCAACAATATCTTGTTTATTATATACAACCAATTGCTTGGAAGTTTGTAGTTACATTGAAAGCTTTTTGCCAGGTTTATAAGTGAAGTCGATTGTGTGTAATATAACTTGATGAGATGTTTTTCCCAGAGGATATCTGCTTGGGTGCCCACTGCTAAATATTAAATCTAGTGGCTCCATTTAAATATAAATATAAATGTGTTGACAATATTATAGAATTTCTAAATGCTTTATATTCGCACGATTTTCTTGATTTAGTCTTATTTGAGTTTCTATTACATATTTTTAGATTCGTTCGACTTCAAATATTTGGCTGACGTTTTAAGGAAAATAAAACAAGGAGAACATGTGGTCCTTCACAAATATGACTGCTCTGCCTATTCGAGGTACAGAATTAACTTTTTAACTTCTAGTCTTTAGTACCCCGGATGTTCAGGAGGTCCCAGATGATGTAGATGTTGTCATCGTAGAAGGAATATTAACGTTCTATCAAAAAGAAGTCAGAGACATGTTCGACTTAAAAATCTTCATTGAATCAGATGCAGACACTAGACTTTGCAGAAAGGTATTTTTAAGAAAAGATAACAGAATGTAAATTTTTTGTAGTCCTAAGAGATGTTTCTATGAAAGGTCGTTGCTTGGATTCCGTACTCGATAGTTACTTTAAATACGTTAAACCGGCGTTTGAGGAGTTTTGTCTTCCCGTGAGTATATTTTCGAAGTCAAGTTTTCATAGTAATAGTAAGAATTATAATAAATACTATTGCCATTGATGCACTGTACGTTTCTATTACTGTAGTTTCTGATTTTACTGAGTCTTCTAGTACTGATCACGTTCTGTCGATCATGCTAGGTCCTGAGTTTCTTCACGACTACTGCAAACAGCCTAACATTATTGCTGCACCATTTTTTAGGTGATGCTTTATTCTACTAATGATATTCTTGCCTTATTCCCCTAAACAGTGTAATCGTGATCAGTCATATGTTACCACTTAAATTTCTATACGGAAGATTTAAGTTTTACAACACTCGTAAAATGACAACTGTGTATTTATGTTACTCATGATGACCCAACGATATAAGCACTGATAAATTCGTGCTCCAAAACAGTGCTAAACTAATTTCAAATAAATGCTGAGGTAATTTTCTAACTACTTGTGTCATCCACCTATATTTCACCCCTGCTAGTTTGCAATGCCTACATTCAAGACTGGATTAGTAATTCCAAATGTTTTTTAATTATTCTTCGAGAAGATACTACTTGTACTGCAGTCCTGTCAAACTGACATAAGGCAATATTTTCTCCGCTGTTCGTTTTATTTAGTGTTTTCAGTGGGTTTTACTACATCGTGCGAGCAAAGTTGAATTGTGAATATGTATCCTTTATCATACTGAATGTGGTTCGGATGTCGGTCACAATACTGCGTGGGCACTGACATCGAATCAAATGATTCCTTGGTGGGGTTTGAACTTACTGTCTAGTGCTTTAACTGAAAATCTGCTGTCAGCGTAGCTATTGATCGAGAGTATTAACCTTTATCTGGCTGTTAAATCACATGCTTTCATTGTTAATGAATCAATGTTTATTATGTGACACTTATCTTCATTTTCTCTTACTGTTTAAATTACTATTTAGACTAAAAAATATGCTGATGTCATCCTACCACGCGCACCAGACAATCATGTTGGTGTCGATTTAATCACCGAACACTTGTTACAACTTGTAAATGATTCACCTCTGATTCATAATGTTCAACATTATATACCACGTGCAAGAAACCAATCAGAATCTTGTGTAGGTTCTTTCAGACCTCATTAGTCACCTAGTGATAATGGTACTAACCTTATTTGTATATATTATCTGGTTTATTGAATTAGAATGTTATTATTTTGATATTTCCAATTGATCTTCATTTTCTTTCTTCCTCTCCTTAATTTTCATCTACTTGTTTTTAATTATTTAAAAAATTTTAAGTTTTCAAAAAATGATTTATTATCTATCAAGTGCTTACATTTATCAACTTGGAAATTGTTTTACTTGTTTACAGATAAATTATTCTCAACAATTCGTTTATCCTTGAAAAGATAGTATATACCTTCATAGCAACCTGATAATTGTTCCAATCTTATTTAAACGAACCTTTGAATAAAAGTTAGTTAAATATCAATACTTTTGATAACCGCATAAAATATACCTGTATCCCATGATTTCACATTGTTATAAATTTTGACTAATTTTACGATAAGGAAAAGATAACTACACTGATGTTTGCTGGTTCAACACTAAGATTATTCATTAAAATACTCCAGATCCTCAAATATGAATCAAGCAGTATTAATTTAAACATTTGTTTCCCTATAGATAAAATAACTGTGTTCGGCATTAAACAATTTGTGGGGAGTTATAACCAGGTTTCTTAGTTCAATATTGTTATTCGCAAATATCATTTCGACGAAAAGTTCATGACTAATCCATATCATGTTCTCAAATGTGTGACAAGAAATATATTGCTAACCGAACGTACTTACACGGTTGGAGACTCTGGGTGAAATGACTCAAAACCGATCTCAATGGAGGTGCATGCCCTGTCTTCCCTTAAACCGTGAGATTAAAATCAATTTATAAATTTCTACGAACTAGTTCTTTCTCCCTGTATCACGTCCTTATATGCATCCCTTTTTTATTTAATACTACCATTGAAGTAACTACTGTGAATCTGGTGTTCATCTTGTTGTGCTAATAAGGTGTGGCAACGTGGACCGATGCATTTATGTACCTGGTCCTACGTTGTAGCTGACTGACTGTCATTAAGTTTTGTGATATTAGTTATTTGTTGAATACGCGGACTTCTTCAAGTATTTCTGTTCTTAAACGTGTATCCATCTTTTTTTTCTTGGTGGTAAATTAGGCCACTTCTTTGCAAACATTAACTCAATGTATTTGTTACCTTATTCGAATTTCCCCTAATGGGTTTTTGACTAAGTTAATTTGAAATGTGAATTAAGCGCGTCAATGTTCATAATTTGTTTTGTTTTTCAATACTACCTGGCTAAGTCTAATAAAACCAGCGACCTAAAACAACAGGTCGGGGATAAATAAATATGGTGGCGAATATTAGGTAGAGGTGACCATCAACCCCCCCTCAGAGTGCTTATGTTCATATGCATGTTAAGAAGTGCGAGGGCGAAAGCCTCTGTACTAATCGCATGCACAAGAAACAGTACTTCAAAGGGAGCGGTGACCATCTCCAGTTTAGTGAATATACCTATACGTAGGCTGTAGAATGCGTGAGTGAAAACTTGCGTTACCGGTGTGCATGCAACGTATATTTGCTCCCAGAGCGAGTATACCTATGTGTATGCCAAGGGTTGCATAAGTGGAAAATTATGTATTGCCAGTATGCATGTAGCCCATACTTGCACTTTTGGTGCAACTCTCTCGTGCCAAGGCCCGGGTTTATCGATTCCCCCACACAATCATATGCACACAGTGGGTTTGTGAGCCTTGTAAAAGACAATTATTTGCGGAAAAGTCGGTCGGCTCCACCGGATAAGGCTTGACCAACCTTAATACGGCTGGAATACCAACATCTGGCTAGATTCCAATCTTAAATTATAGGTATGTTGATCTTCATAGTAGTTGGGGATTGATTCTTGTTATACTACCCGATGTGTTAAACGCTTACATTCTTATAATTAATTGTGAAAATAGGTGGGACGGTGGTTCGTATTCGTTTCCGTCTTAGATTTTGAAAGAATATTTACATTGGCGGATATTTGCAGTTTTAACCATTTTTCTTGACGTGTTAGCGGGATGTAGGTGTAGCATGTTCCGCACAGGATTGTGTTGACCTCTGTTCGCGTACTCAATATACCAACAAATGCTGATCAAATCAACCATGGATATCAAGAATGCGTAGGAGGACCAAAACACTTACAAATAAAGGTAGCTTGAGCTCCAGATGAAAAACAAACAAGAACACAGTCAATTCGTTTGTGATCTGTATTTTCTTCCAATCTTAGTGCTAGAAATTACTTTTTCCAGTAATTATAATGATAATGTCTGGAAAAACCAAAAAAGCTTTACAACTAAAACACGCCACAGTGAACACGATTTACATAAAATCATCCTCCTGAGCTACAAATATCCACCGTCTCATAACCAGAATTCACTTTACATAAAGATGATGGGTGTTCCACTCAGTTTTAGGCGAATCGGTATTCTGTCACCACAAAGAAATACGTCCCAGTTAAGGTTAAATTCATGTATTAGTTTGAATTGGTGGACAACGTATGATAACATATTGTTGGGATATTCAGAAAAATATCCCAAAAATTATTCTGTCAAGCCTAATGCTATCCTTGGACATGAAATGGTATCATCCCATTTGTCAATATTCATTTAACGTGTCATTTTCCTACTGGTCAATATTGTACAATGTTATTTTCTATTTTATGGTACGATGTGGTCTGCTTGATTAGTATATAAACAGAGTGTGTTTGAAATATAGCGATTCATATCTCCGAGGCTGAGACTTGTGTTCTGGACTTGACTGGCTGGGCTAGACAAGGAGGCGGGACCAATCAGAACCCTAGGCCGTTCTACGTGTTTGCGCGTCTTTGGTTCGATCAATAATTCGCTACCCTCTAATCTGCCGTCACAGTTATAGCACATGTTTACACAGAATATTAAAAAAATCGGGTTGAACGGCAACTAAGCATATGTAACATGTGTCCGAACCACCTCAATCAAAAAGGATTCACATCTATATCAACTGTTTCGCCATCCTTCCTAGTATCATTTGCTTAACCTGGAAGTTATTCGGACCTTCAACGAAACGCGGGCAGGACTTTAAGGATAAAAAGTCCGGAACTTGCTACAGACTCATGTCTTCTACCCTTAAAAACTACTTTTTACGGCCAAAAAGCGATATTTAGCGGACTACTGCACAGTATTTATACCCTTTGGTTGGGAGGTGGACATCTCAACGTAAGTTAAGAGAGGCTAACTCTACAGTCGTTTATATAGGAGTAGGTTGGGAGAAAGCCTGAAATGAGAAAGTGGAGATACGGTACTCACTTATGAGATCATCAACTGCTGGTCGTATTTATGTTGGAAGATGTAAACTTCTTGGTTGCATCCCACCCCATAGTTGTAACCAATGGTTGATGTTAGGTGCAGTCATATAGTAGATGCACTCACATTGTCGCCCTCTAAATACTTGGTTGTGTCATTTCTGGCTTTTTATTCTCTGAAACCATTTTTTTTTATTGATCGTATTTTAATTTCACCTGAAGTTGGAATTAACTTCACCCTTTTGCTTCTCATCTTAACTTATTCTCTGGCAGTGATGCTTAACTTCAACTGACAGAGAGTTATTACCCTGTTTGATGGGATTCATCTGTTACGATAAGAAAGATAAACCAAACAAAGAACTCAGAAATAAGACGACTACTCAGATTTCTTTCGGTAGATAGTATACTTTAGTTTAGTGGTTACGTTACTTCGGTGTTCTTTTTCAAGTAGATACCCCTTTCCATCACGAATCGATGTTATAAACGAGATGAAGTCATAAACCACACTAGCATCTATGAATTACGCTTAATGAAAGAAAAGCGCAATACGTTAATCACTGCGAAATATAAAGCGTAGTTGGAAAATGTATTTGAATTATAACAACAAAAATCGAAAATTATCGTCTTAGTTTAGTGGAAAACGGATTGATTCACAAATTATTCTAAAAAGTGAGTGGAGTATCTGGATTGTATCAAAACTATGTATCGGAATATTGTCTTCAAAAAGATGGAGAATATGAGGGGAAATATTACATTATTATGCGTGAGAACGGTGCACTACATTTCTAAAACTCAAATTGATATTCATTTCAATTATAATCCATAATTATAGACAGTTCAGTTCATCATTTGTGTGTGGGCTGTGATACTGCCCGGGTGCCCAAACCGAAGCAGGTGGTTTTCTTAGGGGGCCACACCCCAAGCCTTCGACCTGAAGGTCTGATCCACAAGGCAGTGGAGCATCGTAAGGAGATGCAGTCCCATGGAAGCCGGTGACCAACAATTGGTCCATACGCCATTTGTTCCCGCAGGATACTGGAGCCCATGTGCACCATTGGTTTGGCTTGGAATCCGGTTAGATCGCCGGACATTCGCTTTTCGTCCTCTCATTTTCGTAAACAACACCCCCACCACGACAAGGCCTTGAGTAGAACTTCCTGTTAGAGGCTGTATACGTGTGAGAGTATTTCGAGAGGGAGGGCAAACCCATCCCGCTTTCGGCCATACCAGGGCATTTGGGGGCTGTGGTTGTGTACAAGACTGCCGCTCCTTTTGGAGTACCTATCTGGACTCTGACCATCTTCGGTCTGCGCCAATCTTACCTTACTTTTCAGTGGACAACGAAGTGACCCCCACCAACGGATTGATGTTAGCAAGCTGGTTGCAACTTCTGTTGATAGTAAGTATCGAACCGAGCTAGCTTTAGGCTAGCTACCATTCCCCCGAAAAGTATAGATGAGCATTGGTTGCAATTGCATGACGCCATGAAAATGGCGGGTACAGTCAGTTGTGGGTTCGCGAAACGTCTCGCTTATAAGCACTGGGTTTCTTCAGGTTCCTTACAACTCATTGAAGCCCGTCGGTCTACTCCGGGTGACCGTGAGTTTGACCAAAAACGAAGGATGTTACGTAAGGAAATTGGGCAAAGCTTGCGTAAGGACCGCGAAGCCTGGTGGTCGAAGCGTGCTAATGAGCTGGAAGCAGCAGCTGCATCTGGTAACTACCGGAAGCTCTTCCAGCTCATCCGAGCCACTGGCAGCAAGAAGTATGATGTGAGTGAAACAATCTGCGAGGATGATGGGATGCCAATCATTAACATCCATCGACGTCTTTGACGATGGGCAGAATTTTTCGAAGGGCAGTTCGACTGGCCTGCTGCTCCGGCAACATCGGTCAGACTGTCCCATCCTCCATGACCTGCGACGACTAATCCACCCAACGGGATGGAAGTACGCAATCAACTACAACTCTTGGAGCGCTACAAATAGCCAGACCCAGATGACTCAGTTCCGGCCCTTTTTAATACTGTTGGTGACTTTCCGGTTAAGGAACTGACTACGTTGTTTACAAAGTTCTAGGGACTAGAGAGTGTTCCAATATCACGGAATGAGTCGATAGTTGTCCCTATCTTTAAGAAAGGTTCACATCGTTCCTGTAACAACTATCGGGGGATAAGTCTACTTCCGATTGCGTCCAAACTATTGACCTCCGTCACACTTCGTAGATTGTTCAAAACCCGAGAAAGATTGACTTGCGAGGAGCAGGCTGGTTTTCGTTCTCGTTGAGGACGTATTGATCATATCTTCGCCCTCCACCAGATGTTAGAACACCGTCATACTTATCACAGGCCAACAATCATAATGTTTCTTGACATCAGGGCTGCCTTCAATTTGTTGGACAGGACTGTTCTCTATGATTGTCTATTGAAGAAGGGTGTGCCTGAGAAGTTTATTAACATCCTAAAAGCCCTATATAAAAACACCTCAGGCAGAGTGAGGGCATACAACCACCTCTCTCCATTGTTCCATTCGAGCAGTGGGGTTAGGGTTGCCCAATCTCACCATTCCTCTTCAACTTTGCCATCGATGACATTCTGGAAACAGCTCTGATGGATGTAAGTAATGGTGGTGTGGATCTGTTGCCTGGAGAAAGACTTCTCAACCTTGAGTATGCGGACGATATTGTTTTACTGTGTGATAATGCCCAAGCCATGCAATCCGCACTTAATCAGTTGGCAATCAGTGTCCGTAGGTATGGTATGTGCTTTGCACTTTCGAAGTGCAAAGTACTTCTACAAGACTGGCAGGATTCTAATCCTGTACTCACCCTGGGTGGTGAGCAGATAGAAGTAGTCGAGAAGTTCGTGTATCTAGGTAGCTGCATAAGTGCTGGTGGTGGCGTGAGTGATGAGATCAATACACGTATAGTGAAAACCAGAGCGGCTTATGACAATCTGAGCCATCTTTGGTGCCTTCGTGATGTCAGTCTGGATGTAAAAGGTCGGATCTACAACGCGTCGGTGAGAGCAGTTCTGCTCTATGCTTGTGAAATCTGGCCTCTCCGAGTTGAAGATGTTAGACGACTCTCTGTGTTTGATCACCGTTGTCTCCGAAGGATTGCTGACATCCAGTGGCAACACCATGTCAGTAATGCAGAGGTTCGGCATCGTGTGTTCGGGCACAGAGATGATAATTCAATTGGTGTCACCATCTTGAAACACCGACTTCGGTGGCTTGGACATGTTCTCCGAATGTCGTCCCAGAGAATTACACGTCGTGCATTATTTGCCGACTCTGGGACTGGTTGGAAGAGGCGGAGAGGTGGTCAGTGCATGACATGGTGTCGTGATATGAAAGAAAGCTGTAAAGGACTGGCTTGTGTTGGTCCTTCTTGACTCCCTGGTTGGGGTCCGAGAGATGGTGCAACACAGTGGCTAGAGACGTTATCAGATATGGCTCAGAATAGAAGCCAGTGGCGATCCTGCTGTAACTTTATTTTACGTTCTTCATAAAAAGTGGTTGTAACTTCCTTAACTGAAAGATTTCTTCTGATTGTGCCTTTCCGTTCCGCCATTATTAATATTATTATTATTACACTACCTTACACCAATCTCTTCGTTATCGTTCTTTTTTACGCTCCTTACCTTTTTTCTTTTCACTTCTCTTTAAATTCTCATTGTTTTTTGTGGCGCATATATATTTGTCGCACTCTTGTACCAATATTTATGTGTTCAATTAAATAAATAAATAATAACAATTATAATCCGATAACCAGAATAGTGTGCCAAAGGTTAATAAAAAATGTTTACTTTGGATGCGAATGAAATCGAAATAAAACCTGCTCTTCTTTCCTAATAGGGAATTAATTGGATATTCGGTAAAGTTGTTTCTGTTGAGCTTTCAAAGTTCAACAAGTTATGTGACTCTTGTGTTGTGGCAATGCCATGCAATCTGGTTATTTTTACTTATTTCTTGTACAGTATTAAATGTATTGCAATATTCACCGATCAAGTTGCGGTGAGTTCGGTTTCTCATGTCTTAATCGTTCTTATTTTGAAAATAATCCTCAATACACTTATTATAGGGAAGATGATGAGATCTTTCGAAAACATGAAGTTATTCAGTAACCAAAACCTATAAAACGAAGAAATCAATATACCTATAACTATGCAGTGCAGAGCTATCTTTTATTAGGCAAAGAGTGAAAGGTGAACGATAATTAGCTAGTGAATTTTTAAACACTCGTCAGCTGAAATGGTCATAACCTGTGTTACATACATCCGCTCACCATATGCTTCAGGTTACTGACCCTAATTCGATCATCTAGGTTAGTCCGTGTACATCGCTGATGGAAAATGCACTAACTACAAAGCACATCTCCAGAAAAAAGGAACTGACAAGCTTTCCACTCCCTACATGATATTGTTATAATCACACTGGTGAAGAAACTTTCACCCCAATTCCAAGTGACTTTCGGGATGTGACAAGAGTGAAACATAGATACAGTCTAGCCAATAATGAAAAGTGAATTAGAGCACCTATAGGAATGATGTAAAAATTCAATTCTGCTAAGAAATGCATAATACTGAGCAACTAAAATTGAACTAACTTTGAAAAAGTAACTATGATACTAATATCCGTCTGTATGTGATGTAGTTACTGTTGATTCTTCTTACAAATACATAATTTTTGAATGGTTAAAATATTCTCATCTTTTTTCAAGTCAAGATGATGCTTTTTTTACTATGTAATGAAGAACAGTTTACCGATAATATAATTATTTTAAGTTGACGAAAAACGGAGATGCATACTCATTACATTAACACTTATACAGAAGCACAGACATATACCAATATATACACGTCTATATATATAACAGCAAAAAATGCCACCATAACATCATAAATAACGTTAGTTTAATAAATCATTTAAAAGAAAACGAATGAACTATAGTTATATTCATTTATGAAACCAACAAATTAGCGTTTCCCAAGAATATTTAAAAATTTCCCGCGGGTCATTTCTTTTGCTGAAACAAATCTGTATTATTTTTTTAATCTTAAACAAACCTTCTTCCAATCCAACTTGGTAAGCTAAATTCTGTAAATGTTTAATTTTATCCATTAGCTGTTGAGTCGATAGGCTCCCAAAATCTAACGTATGAATATAACTATCACAACAACACAAATTTACCATGAATAAGTTCCAGATCTTCTTTATCCAAATCAGTAGCATATTTCGGAGGGGTGTGTAAGTTTATTTCATTTTGCCGGGACGTAAGGAATTCGGTGACACCAGAAACTATATGAAAGTAGAAATAGGACAATTACTTTGTTCTGGCCATAAATCAGGTGAAGCTCTATCGAGATTATCATGACTCAACAGGACTTGATCGCCTTTTTCCTCCATGATATAGGTTTAGACGCTTTTCAAAGCTACAAAGTGGAAGAAATAAAGGGAGAGTATAAAAATAATCATTTTAAGATCTTTGTGTGAAATTCCAGAAAATAAAACTTTACCAAAACTCCATACTTTTTGTTTAGATTGTTTGAAACCTGTTATCTGACAGGACTTGCCACCTCTCATATTAGCATAGTGAATGGAATTAACAATATGGAAGAGTTGAAATAGTAGTGTGTCAATGATAGTAAAAACTAATTATGAAGGGTTTTTTCAGAAATAATGGAATAAAATAAAGAAAATATAATGGCCTGAGTTATTTAACCATTGATTGGAGCTATCGGACGGACTCTGACCAAGAAGATGAACTTTTTATACAAATCCGATCAAAAGTAAATGATTTCATAAACTTTTTCATGTCTCATTCTGGTCGATGGAGGTTTTCTTGGAACCGATTATTATGCTACTATTATACTGCCGAACGGAGGCATAATAAACAAGGAAAGATAATATAAGTTCAGGACAATCAAACTGTCATTCGTGTTAGCTATTTTTATTTATTTTGAAAATAAAATCATTAGAACGGCTGCCTATCGAATGATTTATTAACCCACCACAAACTTAAAATTTTGTGTGTCATGATTGAATTCCATGATTTTGTTTAAAATTTGCTTAGGATAAATGAGGATAGAGAATTTAGTACTGAATATGGAAGTTTTTATAAATGAAGAAGTAGCAGGCAGTGAATACACATATAATAGTGATAGGATTCAAGCAACTCTATGGGATCCTCAACAGCAGGTTTCTTTCCAGCGCGTATTTCTACGGAAAGCGTAGAATGATTACAGATACAGCTATATTACAAATAATGCTGACCCAAATAACTTTATTGTCTGCATTAAATATTAACATCAACAAATAGCAATCTTTTTATACATCCATCATTGTGAAAATTCTGTCAACTAATATGTGATGGCAATAACAGTCAAAGACCGACTCGGAATTAAATCAATTATGTAACCCAAAAACAGTAAAGTACTGAAACATAGGAGCAGATAAATCAGGTGAAGTCAGTAAAGAGATGTAGGATAATACACTTGAGGACCACATAAAAGAAAATAGATGGACAAATCCCGAACATTAATGTCAATTCCTAATAAAGAAATCAATTATAATATTTGTGCTTGGGCTGACTTTGACTTGTCGGACTGTTGAGCAATTATAAATATCTCTTGTGTTTGGTATAAATGATCGAAATGGTGAGAAGCAGAGTTATGAACCGCATGGAATTTACCGGGAGTTAGTAAAAGGAAGACTTAACTTGCTAGTATACTGCTACTCACAACTGGGAGGAACAGTAGCTTCTATAACAATGTTCTTGAGATTCCATACATGCCAACAAACAAAACCAGTTTACTTTAAAACGTTGATTAAAAAAACATTACACAACTTTCTCAGGGCATCGGTTTATGGAATCACAACTTATCACTAACCTTATTACTCTTGATAAATGGAAGAATGATCTACTTAAGACTCACTTTGAATAAGCATTAGTCAGCATAATGTAGCCAACCTATTGAACCAAGCTATTATTTTACACTGGATTTAAATTGGAGCTGAGTCAATTTCTTGATTTTTAAAAGACAACTGCTAATCATTTAGAGGTATTGTTCAGGACTGGCCCGACTAATGAGAATGTATCTATCCACTTTTATTTTTTAAAACTTGAGGAATAGGCTGCAAATATTTGAATTTGATGTGACTAAAATATGTGCTACTTATGCTCATTTACAACCTACCTTTATGAGGAATATTGGGTACGATAAGAATACATTAGAAGACAAGTCAGTCAGCTACGAGGTAGGACCAGACACATATATGCATCAATCCAAGTTGCCACAGCTCATTAGCACAGCAAGATGAACACTGTATTCACAGTAGTTAATACAGTGGTGGTAATATATAAAAGATTCCATACAAGGACATAGTACAGGAAGAAAGAATTAGTTCGTAGAAAGAAAGATATGAAGCAATTTTAATCTCTTATTTTAAGGGAAGACAGGGGTGTACACACCTACGCCATTGTGGTCGATTCTGAGCCATGTCACCAAGAGTCTCCAACCATTTGTTACGATAGTAACGCGGACCCCAATCAAGTAGTCTGCATCTTCCAACATGGCTCAGACTAGAAGTTAGTGACTTCAAGCACTGATGCCACATTTTGGTTTGGCCGCCCCTAACTTTCTTCCAACTATCTCCAACACCGGTTAGCATTGCACGCTGTGGTAATTGGTGTTCAGGCATACGTAACACGTGGCCTAACCATATCAGTCAATGAAGGTTTACAACCTCATCAACTGATCCACCATCATCCCTGATACCCTGCGTCTAACCTCGCTATTACTTACCAAGTGGTCTCAGTGGATACGAGCAATATTGATTAGAAAACAAAGGGGTGACAAAACCAGACTGTAACACTAGTCCACGAAATCACTGAATGTTGTTAAGTGCAGATTAAGTGAACCTTGAAAAGATCACTACTGTACACTTTTTCTCCTACAACTTCACTTCATTTATCTGTCTTGATATCAAAGTAGTTTATTGCTGATGGTAGTATTATTTTCACCTCCTTGAATTTTGTTTCGTTTGTCTGTCAATGTCCTGATGTCAAACATGAACTGTGGTGACGCAGACTGGTACACTTAGTCCTTACTTGCTACCCAAAAGAATATAGAACGTCAGTGAGTTCAGCACAGCTGTGGTGTTTTTGCTAGTTTGAGTATCAACTTATTAAATTACGACAAGAGAAAGCTTTACAAACTGGTGTATCGGAAATCACTGCGTAAAGTACCTAGTAAACAATCATAGAAAACTATGAAAAAAAATCGGTAAAGGGGTAGGACAAATTACTGAAATCCCTATATTTTCCATGTAATTGGCTACTTTGGTTTACATACTGTTTCGTCCAATAACTTGTCACTTAGTGACATCACTTTTTAACTAGTTATCCAACGTATTCAATCTTTTTGTTAGGTGACTACGTGTAGACAATGAGTTTATTGTATTATCTACAGCCTCAAATGCCCTGGTACGGCCGAGAGTGGGGAGAGTCCTCTCCCTCTCGAATGCTCTCACACGGCCACGCGTACATAGCCTCTAACAGGGAAGTCCTACTCACTGCCTTCTCGTGGCAGGGGTGTTGTTTACGAAAATGAGAGGACGAAAAGCGAATGTCCGGCGATTTAACCGGATTCCAAGCCAAACCAATGGTGCACATGGGCTCCAGTATCTAGTGGGAACAAATGGCGTATGGACCAATTGTTGGTCACCGGCTTCCATGGGACTGCATCTCCTTACGATGCTCCAGTGCCTTGTGGATCAGACCTTCAGGTCGAAGGCTCGGGGTGTGGCCCCCTAAGAAAACCACCTGCTTCGGTTTGGGCACCCGGGCAGTATCACAGCCCTCACACATATCGAATGAGATTTGTGTGGCGCATATGTATTTGGTGCCTCTTTGTACCATTATCTATGTGTTGAAATAAATAAATAAATAAGAGAATGTCCGACGCCTTAACCGGGTTAGTGGATATGAAGGACCTACCTACGGGGGTTGGAAAACTTTCATTCCAAACCAATGGTGCACACGGGATCCAGGATCCTAAAAGAACAAAAGGTGTATGAACCTTTTGTTGGTCACTGGCTACCATGGGACTGCATCTCTTTAGGATGCTCCACTGCCTTGTGGATCAGACCTTTAGATCGAAGGCTCCGGGCGTGGCCCTCTATGAAAGCCACCTGCTTCGGTCTGGGCAGTATCCCAGCTCTCACATAAATCGAATGATTTATGTGGCGTATATCTATATGGTGCCTCCTTGTACCAATTTTCATGTGTTTAAATAAATAAATATTGTTGGAGAATTTTCGTAATTTACGTCATTTAGGATATGAAGGAATAACAGTTCCACGTCGTTCTACGCAATTGTTTACTGAGTACATAGTTATGGGCATTCAATGGAAATGCAACACTTACACAGATATGGGGTCGGATGGATTCAGAGGAAGGTTTAACGTTTCTTAAATCCAAGGTGGTGTAGTAATGTGGTGTACTGTGATCACATTATTCATACAGGAGACCTGGATGTTGGCATTGAGTTGTATTCATCGACGGAATGTTTTTTCAATGTCAGCACGAAGGTGAACCTGAATGACACACTTCCATATTAATCCAAGAGACCGAAAAGGTGAATTTGTAGTCTTAATTAGTTAACACAACTCTCAGAGAACCGAAAACAACTATCATATACTACGTTTGCACCTCCGAGGAAATGGAGGCGACAGAAGTGGGTGCTGGCTGTGGTTCAGTAAACTATTTTAAAGTCATCGACTTACTGATTGTCAGGAACATCTTGATTTACTTAATTATTACATACCAGCTCTTAAAAAATCGAATTTGTGTCATCAGTTGACACGTCAACTACAAAACCAATACTACAGATTGCTTCAAACGAGCAAGTGGAATCAACATTTATATGTATTCTTGCAGTATCGACGGTTATGAAGATATCATGGAACGACATAGACTAGGAGAAAGGAACGAGAATGGCGAGAGATTTTCAAATCTCTGTATATTCAACAAACTGGTTGTAGACGGCACAATATTACCACACAAACTCATACACAAAGTTACATAGATCACACCATGGAGAACCAGATAGATCATATTTGCATCAGTAAAAATTCACAAGGTTAATGGGAGACGTGAGGACCAAGAGAAAGCTGACATAGCCTCAGATTATCACCTTGTGTTGCCAAGATGAAATTGATGCTAAAGAAGCATTGGACACTGGAAAAACAGCATTACAAATGTTCAATACGCCTCCTTCGTCATACTGACAAACTCAACGAATTCAAGATAACTCTCAACAACAGGTCCCAAGTCTTACAGGATCTACTCAAGAGAACTACTGAAGACAACTGGAAAGAGAACAAAGAAGCATTAACTTTAACGT